CCCCCCCCCCCAACTGGGGACACACCGCCGGAGGTGCTGGGGGGGCAGAGTTAAGGTTATTGTGGTGTCAGGGGGGATTCAGGGGGGGGGTGAGGGCTCAGCACCCCTCAACACCACCCCCCTCTACCACCCTGGTCACTGCAGAAGCTCCAGGACACCCGGTGCTTTGCGGTGACAGGGTGACATTGGTGGCAGGGTGACATGTCCCCCCCCATGGGTATGTTGTGTGTCCCCCCCCCTCCAGTTGCAGCCCTGACAGAGGCGCTGGAGGCAGAGAAGGAGAAGAAGCTGCTGAATGTGGGTGCGTGTGTGTCCCCCCTCCTCCCACGGTGACACCCATGGTGTCCCCAACCCCTGTGCGTGTCCCCAATCTCTCATGTGTGTCCCCAATCCCCGTGTGTGTCCCCAATCCCCATGTGTGTCCCCAATTCCTCTGTGTTTCCCCAAACCTCGTGTGTCCCCAGCCCCTATGTGTCCCCAATTCCTGTGTGTGTCCCCAACACCTGTGTGTGTCCCCGATTCCTGTGTGTGTCCCCAACCTCCATGTGTGTCCCCAATTCCCGTGTGCGTCCCCAATCCCTGTGTGTCCCCAATCTGTCTGTCCCCAATCTCCGTGTGCATCCCCAACACCTGTGTGTCCCCAGTCTCCAAGTGTGTCCCCAATCTGTGTGTCCCCAAATCCTGTGTGTGTCCCCAATCTCCATGTGTGTCCCCAATCTCCACGTATGTCCCCAACTCTCATGTGTGTCCCCAAATCCTGTGTGTGTCCCCAATCTCCATGTGTGTCCCCAATCTCCATGTGTGTCCCCAACCCTCATGTGTGTCCCCAATTCCTGTGTGTGTCCCCAATCCCCGTGTGTGTCCCCAATCTCCATGTGTGTCCCCAATTCCTGTGTGTATCCCCAATCTACATGTGTGTCCCCAGTCCCCATGTGCGTCCCCAATCTCCAGTGTGTGTCCCCAATTCCTGTGTGTGTCCCCAAATCCCCATGTGCACCCCCAATTCCCATGTGTCCCCCCCCACCTCGCTTCACCGGTCACCTCTCCTCAGCCTCCCGCTCCTTCCTGCTGTACAACGAAGCCCACCGCCTGTGCGTCGAAGCCAGCGGGCAACGACTGACGGCAACAACGTGCCGGCCCGAGCTCATGGCACAACGCTTCCAGTGGTCACCCGAGGGCCAGTTACGGGCCTGGGAGAGCCAGCGCTGTGTTACGGCAACCCGGGGGCAAAACCTGGCCCTCGTCAGGCTGGAGGAGTGCCGGGAGGACGGGCAGCTGCAGCGCTGGGAGTGCCAGGCCGGCGGGCTGTTGGCCCTCCGCGGCTACGAGCTGTACTTCAACTACGGCAACAACCTCCAGCACACGGTGATGCTCTACACCGGCGACCGGGAGTGGAGCCGCTGGGTGGTCCACGGGAGCAAGGACAACGTCTGCTCCCTCTCCTGTTAGTCCCAGCTTCTTTAGGTCAAATTTTTAGGGCTTTGCCTAACTCTAAACTGGTTGAAATCAGCCCTAACCCAGCATGGATGCAGTTTAAGCTAAGCTCAAACTGTAACAGGGCCCTAAACCTGACTTAACATTACATTTAGGGTGACTTAATCCTTATCGAGTCCAAATCTTAATGGAGTCCTAACCCTTATGCAGACTTAACCCTAAATATGCACAATTTAACCTAACCCTAAGTGACGTCAAACCTCATCCAGGTCTTAACCCTTAATCCAGCTCAAACCCTAAATGTGTGTGACTTAACCTAACCCTAAATATATGCAACTTAACCCAACCCTAAATGACATCAACCCTCAGCTAGGTCTTAACCCTTAACCCAGCTCAAACCCTAAACATGTGTGATTTAACCTAAGCCTAAGCGAGGTCAAGCCTCAGTGGGGTCTTAACCCAGCTCAAACCCTGAATAGATGTGACTTTACTTAACCCTGAACTAGCCCAAACCCCAGCAGGGCCTTAAGGATAAACTATTGGTAGCCCTAAATATCTAACATTTAAACTAACCCTAATCTATCCCAAACCCCAGTAATCCTAACCCAGATTTAACCCTAAATATACAGGATTTAAATTAATCCTCAACTAACCCTAACCCCAGTGGGGCCCTAACCTTAAACCAGAGTTAACGCCAAATATACAGGATTTAAATTAATCCTAAACTAATCCTAATCCCAGTGGGGTTCTAGCCCTAACCCAGATATAAACCCAAATTTATAGGATTTAAAATAATCCCGATTTAGCCCAAAATTAGGCATGGCTCTCACCCCAACCCAGTTGTAACCCTGAACATATCAAGCTAAACCCAAAGCCCAGTGGGACCCCAACCCAGTTTTAACTCTAAATATACTGAATTCAGCCAAATTCTGACCCAGCCTGAAGCTCAAGGAGATCCTAATCCAGTCCTAACCTTAAATATGTCAGATTTAACCCAAATAAACCTACTCCTAACCCTAACCCAGCTGTAACACTAACCCAGCGGGGATGCTCAGCAGCCGGGGTTGTGTCTCTGGCCGGGGCTGTCAGGTCTCACAGCCCCAGCTTGGGGGTGACCCCCCCTTTTGCTGTGTCCCCCCCTCCCCAGGCTGTCCCCCTTGCTCCAAAGGCTGGACCTATTTTGGGAATTCCTGCTACTTCTACTCCAAAACGGAGAGTTCCTGGGAAAACGCCCAGAGCTTCTGCTCGCTCCTGGGCTCGAAGCTCCTGGAGGTGGACAGCCCCGAGGAGAAGGTGAGGGGGGACAGATTCAGGGTGGGGGGGAACGGATTTAGGGGGGATAGACACAGGCGGGACAGCGAGGGGGGACACTGCGGTGCCTGAGCTGGTCTTTGTGGGGAGGGGATGATCTTCTGGGGGATGGGGAGTGGCTGGAAGCCTCACATGGACCCCATAAACCCTGCCCTGAACCCTACGATAGCTTTGGGGTCACCCTGCACCCCATTTGTCTCATGGGTGGGTGCTGCTGAGTCCTTACCCTAAGCTTTACCCAAATTTGGTCATTTTAACCCTATATTTACACTCTAGTACCTAATACTTCTACAGTTAAGCCTAACACTGCTCCTAATAGAGCTGTAACCCTAACACTAAACCAAATCCAGCTGAAACCTATCCCTAACCCTAAACCTGACTCTAACTCTAACCCTGACCCTAAGCCTGATCCTAACCTTAGCTCTAACCCTAACCCTCACCATAACCCTGACCTTAACCCTATCCCTAACGATAACCCTGACATTAATTCTGTCCCTAACCCTGACCTAACCCAAATCTGATTAACTGTAACCCTATTCCAAGCCTACACCTAACCCTATCCTAAACCTAACCCTACATATATATGGGACTTGACCTAACCCTAAGCTAGTCCAGACCTCAGCGGGTCCCTAACAGAGTCCTAACTCTAAACACACAGGATTTAAGCTAACTCTAAACTAGTTCAGACCCGAATGAGGCCCTGCCCCTGCCCTAACACCGAATATCTATAGTCCTAACCCTAAATACACAGAATTTAAGCTAACCCTAAGCTAGTTCAGACCTCAGCAGGGCACTAAACCAGGCCTAACTCTAAATATATAGCATTTAAGATAACCCTAAGCTAGTCCAGACCCCATCAGGGCCTGAACCCAGCCCTAACCCTAAATATATAGGTCTTAAACTAGCCCTAGTAACCCAGACCCCAATGACCCTCCAATTTTAACCATCATTTTTCCTAACTGTGACCCCAAACCTGTGTATAACCCGATCTTAACCCCAGCCTTAGCATTCTACAGACCCTCATCCTGCCATCCCCGACCCCAAACCTCTTCTGAGCTGTCCCCCACCACCATAAACTCCCTCCCCCAAACTCCCCCCTGCATCCTCCCACTCCAGAGCAGAGGTTGTGTCAGCAGTGGGGAGGTGTTGCGGTATTGAGGGGGGTTACGGCATCGGGCCTTACCTGCCACCGGGACCTGCTATCCCCCCCCGTCCCCAAGAGTGGGCAGGGGATTGTGGGGGGCTCTGCCGTGGGGCGACGCTGCCGTTGTCCCCAGGGTCACGTCCGGACCATGCTGCAAAGCTCCTCCTGGCTCGGCATCAAGGATGAGGAGGTCGAGGGCACCTGGAAGCGAGCGGATGGGACGATCTTATCCCGGGAAAACAGGTACAGCGGGAGCTGGGGGACATGGGGACGGGAGTTTGGGGACGCGGGAAGACACCCCTAAACTGCCTTGATCCCCCCCCTCCTCGTTGCAGCTCGTGGCACAGGAACGAGCCCAACGGCGGGCGCCAGGAGAACTGTGCGGTGGTGAGGGAGGACGGCGAGTGGTACGACTACCCTTGCACCAGCAAACTCTCCTGGGTGTGCGAGGGACACCCCTGAGACTGCAAGGGACACCCCAAGACCTGTCTCTTATACAC